GCGACACACAGGAGCTCTTTCAAGCTGGGCACCGTTTCATTCACAACACCTGTCCCATCAACCAGGAATCAGAATCAGAAATACTTTAATAATCCCCAAAATTACTTTGGTTACATGACTCCATTTGTAATAGGGTTACTATAGGACCGGTTTGACAATTTCATACAATATATATAATTAGGGGGTCCCCACTCCATCTCACCATCAGTTTGGGGGTCCTAGGCCTGGAAAACATTGAAAACCCCTGCTGTAAAGGATATTTTACAGTGTTTTACATTAGAAACTGAGAAAAAAAGTTGGGCAAGAAAACCCAAAGGAAAATATGGAGTGAGATTTAAAATTTGCACAGCAGTTTGACACGAAAAAGATGAAAAACTAACCACTTAACTTTTTTTTTCAAGTCTGCAGACGTTTCGCTTCCGATACAGAAAGCTTTCTCAATTCAAAATGTCCGAATTAGCATTGAGTGCTTAAAGAGGCTTAAAGAGTAGCCCAATAAAAGCCTTGTTATGGCTTAGATTGAACCGAAAACAGGTCCACCCCTTAGTAATGGGAAGTCGTTGAGGTCGTTGTTGGCCTGCAAAACCCGAAACTCACCCATGTCTCTGTAAAGGGGAGTCATTATATGTTTCTCAAAGCTGAATCCTTAGTCCATCCCCTCTGTTTAAGGTTAGTTTTTCTCTTTTACAATAGATGAATTCCTTCACACCCCTTTCAAACCACCTGTCCTCTTTGTCCAAAATGTGAACATTCTGGTACTCAAAAGAATGTCCTTTGTCCTTAAGGTGTAGGTGGACAATCTTGTCCAGAGGAGATAGCTCGCCTGTGTTGAGCCATGCGTCATGTATCGAGAGTTTTTTTGGTTTTCCAATATAAAGATCAAAGCATTCCTCACTGCATTTAACTGCACGCACTACCCAACTCATCTTAGTTTGGGGGTTTTGTCCTTAGGATGCACCACCTCTGTCTAAGGTTCTTGTTTGGTTTGAAATGTACTGGGATTTTGTGTCTTGAATCCCAGAACATTTAAAACCAAACATTTGAAGTACAGATTCAGGACTGATCAGAATTAAATGTTGTGGTTTACTTCTGATCTGTTTGCCTGATTTTAACATATTAAGTATAAATGTTCAGTTTCCAAACCTGACCTGCATTGTTTGAGAACAAGGGTTAAAAATAAATGTACCATTGTTCCTGACTTGAAGAAATAAATAAGAGCCAAGCAGATGAATGGGCTACTTTGTGCAAAATACATATAAAGGCAATATTTTTTTCTGGCATTACTGCGATGGCTGACATCTAGCTTAAGCATTTCAAAAACAATAGCACACAATAAGGTTAAAAGAAATAAAATATGAAATGCAATTTTTATTATCAGTAAGCAGTAACAGACAAACTCAGTAGAAGAAACTCTTTCAGTAGATGCGCACTCTTTCTAAAGTAGTTGTTCTGTTAGCTGGAAAGGTTGCTATGCGACAATCGGACCCCAGTCTGAGAGAAAAGAAATCGACAAGCAGAGCCAGCGGGTTTCGAAGATGTCTCTGACTCCAACAGACTGGTTTTGTGCACAAGGAGAAGGAAGTCAATGAGAGGTGAAAATATCTATTCAGAAAGGAAGATTTGGAGAACAGCATACATTTGAGAGAAAGCAGAAGTTTTGAATGCAAAAATTAGACATCTTGAGTGCAAGTAGAGAAAATCCTGCTCTCATAAATACTTTGCAATGCATTTGTGCCATTTGTGCAACAACAGTAGCAGAGATAAAATCAAGCTGCAAACATGCAGTTTAATCAAACAAAATAAACCAACTTCCTCTTTTAAAAACAGAGAAGCCGACTTTTAGTAACAGCCCTAAAGTAACAAAAGTTGCCATATTTTTCTGTGTTTTATTTTCATCT